TTCGTACGCTTGCATCGTGAACGCGCGCACAAAACATCAGCAGGGAAAGAGAAACCCCCGGGTTTCCCGTTGAACGTGCCGCGTTCCTGTAGCCACTATTTTTCCGCAAAGAGCGAAACACGACAATAATCCCGATCGACCTCGACGAGCATGGCGAACGCGAGTTGTCTCAACCCTTTCCATAACAGTTTCGCACTCGTCCCGATACTTTACGCGCTCGTGCGCGATCTATTTGTGCGGTAAAAAAATCCACGCATCTGCGTAATTACATGTAATTCCGAGGCCGGACCGACGCGAAATTCGGCAGTTCCGCACCGGTTGCGCGCGAGAGCGTCGAAAGGGAAAAAGATCGGCCATCCATGCGCGTACGCGATAAAATCGGAGAGCCGTGCTGAAAGCGCGCCAGATCGTATCGGCCAGTAATGTGATCCCCCAGCAACATAATGGCGCAAAACCCGGTCCATTGTTGTCGACCGGGGTGCATTCGGTGCACAGGATGTGCTCCCGATTTTCTCGGGTGTCGTATAATGTGGCTTACGCCTAGCGGGGAGAACAGGAGGGAGTTGGATAATGCAGCGAGATCCGGCAATTTAGGATACCGAAAAAGAGAGGGAGAGGAAGATAGAGGAAGAGAGAGAAAGAGAGAGAGAGAGAGGCGAGGACAGAGGAAAAAGTTGTAGCGACCGCGCGAGGTAGATGTTCCATACGGGATACGCTTTTTTTCTCGCCAAATGTAATCCGCGAACACATTCTCGTGCGGAATTACAAGCAGCAGTTTCCCGCGAATAATTTTATAATGCAAATAATACGATATTGGAACAAGAAAGTTATTTAATCCTGGTTAGACGTCTAATGACGTCTGCTCTCGATAAGTAAAAATTTATCAATTTCTGTACTTTCTCTTGTACTCAGAAATATCTCCTCAGAAATTATGTAATATAAAATGTCTACTTTAAATTCCCTTGATATCGCCAACTTCGAGAAAACAATAAAATAATCTTAAAATATATATATTTATAAAATATATACTTAAAATAAATTTTAAAATATATATTTAAATAATAAACATTAAAAAATAAATAATAAAATAAGAAAATAATCTTTTAGTTGTCTGATCGATAACATTTGTTTGTTCTTCTCTTCAGTACATTAAGATTCATCCATAACACATAGAGTACATAAGCTTGGTGTAAGTTAGACTAAGAAATAAAAATAATTTACATCACTCCCTCTCTCTCATGCCTCTCTTCCCATACTCTATTCCCTTATATCGGAAATATTTTTCATAAGAGAAATATTTTCAGTGTAAGGAGGCGTAAGTGAAATAAGTTATTTTTTTGTTACTTCAATTTATGCCAAGCTTATTCTATTGTAGACGAACCTTTATATTAAATGCATGACTTGATACGTCACGTTTGACAGACTCTACAATCGAATATTTCTCATTACGTATTCAAGAGAGAATTATTGCGGTTCTTCTAAAGAATAATTAGGACATCTATAATTTGTGACGATAGAAAGTAACTGATAATACTCTAAAATTAAAATGTGATAAACGTCACAAGTATGCTTGTCGAAATATAACCTATATAACCGCACTCCTGTCACGAAAGTATGTTGCACCGTACAGTGGCGCCATCGGTAATGCATGGTGGAAGCGCAAGGTACTTCACGGCGGATACAGTCGCTGCTCTATGGTAAAACACCTAGGGTTCTATTTACCAACCGTTTTTTTACCTACCACGAATATAGAAGTTTACGAACTTCACTCTCGACGATCAATTGAAAAGAAATAAAAGAACCTTGCATCGCATTCAATCTTCTGTCTATCTACCGCCGATTACAATTTTACAACCTATCTTCGAATCAATGCTTTCCACAATACACAAGTTAAATATTCCCAAATCAAACACATCAAATATACTTGCTTATATCGATGGTAGAATCTGAATACATTTTTTGAGGTTAACATATGATGATATAACCACTGAAATATATATTAATTAGAACATGCGCTGCCAAAATATCCACGATAAGCAAATCGAATGAAAGAGTGAGAAAGAAAGAGAGAGTCTTGGCTTTTCCCTCATCCTTATCTAGACCACATAGTGGTCGAGGAAAGAGGAAGATAAGCTGCAATAAAGATCGAGTTTTTTAATTCATCGATGGATCCATCGATGAATTAAAAAACTCGTCCAGGATCAACAAAGGATAGACGAAGACAGCACTGTTTGCGACACCCGGGAATGCTCGCTCACTCACTCTCGCACACACATTGGTCACGTTCAGCGAAGAAAACTGCTCTGCTACCGCTCCGTAGTGAATGTTCACATGATTAGAGTATTCTTTTAAACCTTTGACAGGTCCGAACAGACCTGTCAAAGGATTGTACCAATCAGAGACGTTCGCTACGGAACGGTAGCGAAGCAATTTTCTCCGCTGAACTTGACACTCTATCTCATCACGCATAGGCTTCCTATTTACACATATTTCAGTGATTATAACCTATATTACTATATGTGGCTATAATCTATAAGGCTATAACGTATGTTAACCTCGGAGACGCTTAGATGAAGCGATTGAACAGTTGAAGACAAATATAATAAATATTTTGACTCACCAGTCGCTGCGTGCAGCGTAGTCTCTTCATGTGTTGTCCGAGTCGAGTGATGTTGTCCTCTCATGTTGTCATTACTCAGAACGAGCGACGTTGTCCACCATGTCATCTCGAGTCATCCACGTTATCAACAGTGTCCCGCACTGTCTTTAGTAATTCACCGGAAAAAGCGTAAAAATCCACCGCGAAACCACTCCCGAGACGACTCTCGTACTTCAACTTCAATATTTGACTCCAGGCTTCTGTAAGAGTTATGCCCCAACGCCATTATTCCAATTTATGATATATTTCGAGTAGTCTTGGAAAATTCCAAGGCACATTCCAAATAATCACAAGGTTCGAACACGTCTTGTCGTAACGACGGTTAGACCGAAACTACGACTCTTGTACGCACGACGAGATGCGACTGACTTTGGGTGAAATTACATGCGGAGTAAAAAGCTGCGTAATAGCGGTCAATCAACAAAGCAGCGCTGATTGGTTGCTGAACGAATTCTATGAAAAAAACGAGGAAACGATATTCAAATGTACTCGTTGCGTTGGAGTGAGCGAGATACAAGAGTGAGATAAAAAGAGAGGGAAAGTGGTGTTGCCTAACGCCATTTAAGGATGTTTTTCGAGAACACGCCTACCAATGTACCGTGTCCTTCTATTTTTATCGCTTCTTAGGTAAACAACAAGGATAGAATCACACATAGTAGCACTGAATAACGCTAATAGCTCTCTTTCTCTCTCTCTCTCTTTCTTTATGGTTTCAGGCCTGTTTTCTCTTTTACTATGACCTTTACCTTTTTACCATTTTACCTTTTTTTTTTAGAGTTATTTTCTCTTTTATTACAACTTCTGAAAGATTGTACCTTTTGGTTTTAAAGATAATAGTAAGCTCCCCAAGCGCACGCTTAAGGTGAAAATACATGGTGCGTGATACGTCATGCGGGATGAGCGCCCGTCATAAAAATAGCCAATCATGTGTTTTAATGTAGATCTTCAATAACGGCATCAAAGCTTTCTTTATCATTATTAACTTATTATTTATGTTAGTTATTTTAATCAAACAATTTCATCAAATACTTAAATTTTGTCGGTTAACGACATACCGATGACAATCACATTAATTGACAATCAAAACACTGACACACAAGGTCAAGATGCATCGTGCGTCACGCAGGATTTTGGTGTGCCCTGTTCACATGGTACGGAATGTAAAAAATGTGATAGAATTGAAACAAAATGTTTACAAGTTGAAAATTTTATTGACAAAGTTCTTAACAGTGTCGAGATAATGATTAATTTAATATTTATTAGAAGTATTATATATTTCATAAATAAATGAAATATTGTAATAAAAAAATTATTTCTTAATTTATTACTACTTTTGTGTATGCGTGCATAGTCCTTTTTCCCGTACCATGTGAACAAGACACACTCAATTCGAGATGCATTGTGCAGAACAGCTCTAATTGGCTGTTTCTATGACGGACGCTTATTCCGCATGACACATCATGCACAATGTGATTTCATCCTTAGAGTCTTTACACACAAACTGTCGTAGCGATAAAATGGCATAGTAAAAATTGACCAATTACGATCAAATATTTATAATGATGGTGACCTTGCGGATTCGACAATTCTCAACGTAATTGGTCAATTCTTCCAGTATGTCTTACGTTGCGGCTACAACAATTTGTGTATTTGAAGGTCCTTACAATCTCGCTCTCGACATATGTACTGTAATTTCGAAACTGTGATAAAGAAATGATGCGAGACGACATTTGCACATGTGTAATAGGCCGTATCGACTTAACCGAAATCGCCTCGACGAGCGAGTAATTGTTGCACGTACTGCGTTACAAATGCTCCCACAATGCTTTCCGTTTCCTAAAATCGACCGAATATTCCTGATACATCGGAGACAAGGTACGGTATATACGATGATTGTTTCGATACCGGCTTACTAGAGGCATGTTTTATTTAACGCTCACAACGACGCGAGCGTCATTCTATCTTTGTTACTCATTGGTTAAACAAAGATAGAATGACGCTCGCGTCGTCGCGAGCGTTAGGTGAAACGCGTCCTAGAAAGAATGAAAAAAAAGAAGTGTCATGTCGGGCATCTTGAGATACATGTCTGAGATAGCGATATTCGTCACGGGATCACGATCGATCGCGTTGTCGTACACGGCAAATAATACGCCACGAGGTTCGCGCGATGCTTTATTCGGCACTCCCGAGTAAATCGAATACTTATTCGTGCGTGAGACTTACCTACGACGAGACAAAAGACCGCGAATAGCAAGAGTCGTCTTTACTCGGCCGCAGAACGCCACGAAGTGGGAGAGTTACGTGCGCGTAGCGATCTCGCGCGTAGTAATCTCGCGCGTAGGTTCGTAGTAAACATTAGCCGCGTTCACGATGGCGTTGTTATTAGAGTGACATCGAGCCAGTTTTACCAGTGTACGTCAACTAGTGATCGTCTACACAATAATATAATATTCCTTGTCGTTATTTCACAGTCAGACGAATCGACTTAATGTTAATTAATACCAATTGTAGAAATAAAGATGCCGCAATGGTCACTCCAACACCCTTCGATGTATTTGCAGAGGACAGGTTTAAAAAATGGCCATATCGTTTATATTTCCGGATAAAACACACAGAGCAAAGCGGATCCACGGAGCGGATTACGAGCAACGGTACGGTGCAAAACGATATAATTAATGTAACCGCGATAAAGTCAATTCAATGTGCTCCAATACACTTTAAACGAGCGAGCAATGCATCATTTAATTTATTCCTGTTATTTATTTGCTGGAGGCAAAACATATATCGGGATGTCGAGGAATTAGGACACTGAAAAACATCGTGACATACGTAAGTTATCGTTATAATTACAGCATCACACACACACACATTACCAAATTCAAAGTTCACATGACAGTCAAAGAAAGGTTTCAAGATATATGTAAACAGATTCCGCTAACATATAAATAGAGTAAGCATAATAAAGTCTAATATAAAAAGTCTTACATCCTATACAGCACAAATATCCAGAATGCATCTCAGAGATGTCTCAGAGATATCTAATATCTCTGAGACATCTCTAGAATATATTTTGAACATTTGTGCTATATGAGATGGATGTCTAGTGTAAAATTGAATTTATGTTATTAATTGTGGCGGGATAATAAGAATATTTTAAGGATTTTTTAAGATTTTTCTAACTTTCATTTATCTTTCCTATGTGTAAAAGTTCTTGATAGAACAGATCATTCTAATCACAATTCATAAGTTGCAATACTTTTGTAAAATAATTCCTGTTTAAACGCCTCTATTTAATATTTGAGTCAATTTATGCTCTGCAATCCCAAGCCAAATGACTGACCAAGCTTGTACTTTAAAGCTCGCACAACCAAATAGGATGAAATCCTGGACACAAGAGAGAGATAGAGGGAGATCTCACGTCTGTGTATTACCATCCTTTTGATGTCCTTCTCAAAGCCAGACCTTGTTGAGCTTACATTCCTCGCTGCTGTAAGCACAGGGAGGTAGAAGCTGTAAATTTTGACAACTGAACAGGCAACTGCTGCAGAGTCCTCATTAGGAAGGAATGTCTCTTCGCTTTTGTAAAGTATGTTATCATATCTTATTCTGAATATTTCTATGAAAAATATGCAATTGTTGTTTGTACATGCAGAAAATATTTTGGGAAAGTTAACATTCTGAGTATTTAGATATATTCCAATTCAGATTTTTACTTTTTTGAATAAAATTGCTCTCATACAAATATTAAAAGGATACAGGAGTACTTGAAAAGAATTCTCTCACTCTTTCTCTCTCTCTCTTTTTCTCTCAGCATATTGATTATTAGCAAGTAAAGCCAAGAGATTATAATCCAAAGATATTTATAGACAAAACTACATATTATTACAATTAGTTACTGCATCATAGATCTATAAGTAATATCTGATTTGTCATTTCCTATCTCTTTTCATGGTTTTTTAAAAAATATTCTGAATTAATTATGACATATTTAAACGTTAAATTCTTATGTCACTCAAATTATAAATTACTCCACACGAATGAGTTACTTTTCCTCGCCATGCGTGAAATCTTATGTCTCATGAAGATGCAGTTGAAAAAGTAGACAACAGAATAGATCATGTTATTAAGTAATGCTTTCTAAAATGCCACGGAAATTCGTACGCCATCCCTGTATTGCTGGAATCTGGAGTATACTGGACAATATAGGGAGACAGTCGCACGAGGGCTTTATTAAGCTTATTAACGGAACATACAAGGGTGGACATATCTACGTCGGTGGTCGGGGAAAGTATAGCCGCTGAGAGGGACAGAAGGATGGAAGATAATGGTGGCGGGAGCTGTGTTTCAACTCGTTTAATCGTGGTATTCGAGCCCTCTATTTGTCGAATCTAATATTATCATGTCCCTTTCCATTTTTACCGCTTCCACCAGTTAGTTATCCTTCAAACGACGCGGTAGAATTAAGTGACAGAGGAGCTCTTCACGAACAATTTTAATTAAGCATTAATATTTCCTGGTAAAACGTTATACTTTTACACGAATTTTACGAGATACGTAGCCATCAGCCCCAACGTTATCCAATAATTGATAAGATCAATCCCGAAGAGCATCGACAATTTGAAATTAATTTATAAATTACTTCCAAGATATATGTATATGTATAAATTAGACGCACATGTATCTTTGGCTTTGAGCTGAAGCATAAAATTCGCAGCCGGTTGTTCTCCAACCCTCGCCCCGACTCTTCGACAAATTTTCTCTTTCTTGACCCTGCCGCCCCCGTTTTATCGCGTGTCCTACCCAAAAGGATTATTAACTGCACGCTTCGTAGTTGGATTAACGGACGACGAATTATATCGACGGAAACGGAAACGGAAAGGATCGCTCCGTATGGTCACGAACAAGCCGCACTTTTGCTTATTTTCTCCAATCTTCTTCCTTTTTCTAATAAAAATACTTGCCGGTACCATATGACGTATTCATCATTAGATTGCAGCGAATCTAAGTTGTTTGGCTGCAAAATTGTCTCATTCTGTCTTATTATCTGCCTTCGAATCTCCATTAAATCGCAATGGCTTTCTGTAGCCATATCAGCCATAGCAGCCTGATATCCTCATTTAGACTGATTTCTGAAAAGGTACACGCGTAAAGTAAAATTGGCTCATGCAAATATACATGCGTGTAAGAATCGAGATAGTGAGGACTCGAGTACGTAAGGGCCACGGATTTGCTCGTAAGCTGACGGAGCAGGAGCGATCCTCGTCTAATCGCGTCCCTAGTCCTGATTTAGGACGGGATTTTAATTACGAAGGGTCAGTAAGTGCGGCTGTCCACTTGGCGCAAGTATTCCTCCCTTATTTATAGTTCATTAGCTCGGCTTTTGCGTAGACGGCAAATTAACTTACACTCGGCGAGTTCTGCCTTTGTCCGCCGGGAAAACAAAGATTTTGCTTTTCATTTTCGATTTTTATATCACAAAATATAAGTCATTTTATATTATCACAGCAACACGGTGCATTATCTGTGTAGCTTTTCTATATTTGTAATTACTTAGATTATATTAATTTACTCATATAAGACAAGAGAAAGAGAGAAGATGGAGAGTTTTTATATACCGCATAGATTATATTATATAAAGTAAATTATTTAACGAGAGACGTACAGAAGTTTTACAATAAAATTATCTATACCAAAAATAACTTATTCAATAATCAGATGACTTCAAATATATGTATTTTCTTAACAGGTCAAAGTGAAGTGAAATCGTATTATTAAACGAGATATGCGTGTGTGCCGCGGAGAATAATTCTTTTTACAAGCCGACATTTTTCTGAGAAAGCAATTAACGATAAGCCGGTCTTGTGAGCTTTTCCGGTGGCGCTGGAAGTGACCCGCTACGAAGCGATACCGTCGCCCTGATAAAGAAGCGTCAAAAACGTCTTTCAACTCATTTTGCCCGCCCGCTGTTAATCTGTTATCTCGTGCTGCCTAATGCAGCCGTCGGGTATAATCTAGCTGCGGTTGAATAATGTCTTACTAACCCTGTTTTTAGAGAGACGTCGGCCAAACGTTGCCTGGACCTACTTCTACTAATTTGCATAAGAATATAAACTGCAGTTCTGAACGAAAATCTGTGCGAAGAATAATCACGTGTATAGTACTGTATTCGCGGGATGTATTTAGCGCAGAATAATCGAAATTGCAAATTAACGTGTATTACACAGTAGCGGTGCACTGATGTTCCGATATTTCATAAATTATTACAGAACGCGTGAACTTTGACTCCTTCTATATACAAAGGTGCGACACATTCTCAAGATCGCCGCCACCTCTTATTGCCGCGTCGCGACTGATCGAAAGGGTTAATGTCTTAATTCCTGGTCAGCATCACGGACGGGTCATACGTTACTACTTGTGTAACTTACAAATAATGCGGTCGCAGTGGTTGCGGTTTAGCGATTGATCGAAGCACCGATTTTTGCGGCGTTTGCGAACATTTCGCTGTATCACGATGCAGATAGGCGAGCGATCGGTGAACTCACCCTCATATGTGAAAGCTACCCAAGGAGTTAATCACCTACACGTATTCTTGCGAACACGGGAAACCGCATATGCCTTCTCGATTGCGCTTCAACAGACCACAGTGTAGTAAACAGTAGCTTCATGTGACCACGACTCGAAATTTTTGGTCTGGACACCCCAGTCAAACCAAGATCTCAATGTTGCTTATGGATATATAAAAATCTGAAAAATACGATGTCTTTTTTCTAGATATTTGGACTTAATGATAATTATTTGACAAAACTCTCTTACAATATTTTGTAGAACCTCCCATGAGAACATATAAGGCTGTCCAAATATTTGGAATCCAATTTTAAAATATCACTCACAACTCTTGGATAACAAACTACAAAATAACATGTTCTGTTAAAGTGACATAAATTGGATCAACGAGACGACCTCAAGAAGATTGTTTCAGTCGAATGCAGCAGATTCAGTTAAGTCTACTGAACCAGGGACAACCTGGTCTAATGACCAGGGACATTTCTTAATTTATGCAACAATGGCTGACGACAGAAGAATACCGTTCAACCTGGAACAGTGTTTCAGGTTTCCAACGAGATTCGAGCCTTCACGAGGAAGGAAAAGAGGGAAGGAGAAAAGGAGAAGATGGAAAGTGGTGGAAGCGCAAAGGAACAAAATCGCGGGGGTGGGGCAAGCGATGTATGATGCGGGAGAGTTTGACCCCTCCACCTGCTTCCCCAACGAGAAGCTCCGCCTCCAGAAACTCGAATGACGTCACACGGACACTTGTTACGCCTTGCCGTTGCTTGACAGGATGCTGTACTGTTGAGATTTTGCGGAGACTGTGAAAGAAACCAGGCAGCGTACTAATGCGTCTATGAACTGAGCAAATGTCACGCGCTCCAAAACATCTGTTGACCTCTGATCGTAGTCGGGTCTTTTCAAACGTCTCCAAATAGTTTTTCAACTTGTATGTATATATTTGTATACATTTAATATATACATTATATATATAATAAGTGAAAAATTAACTCAAATCGTACTGACATAAAGCCAATATAATAAGATACACAGACACATATTTGAGATAAAGTATAGCTTCCTGCGTTAATTAAAGAATAATTACCACTATAATTGTTATCAAGGAAATATGCGAATATTCAAAGTTACATTATGGTAGATGTGTATAATAGAAGATTACTAGCTCGTATCACCACCGAACGACGTATTCCACTCCCACGTCTGTTCCCACTCTAGAAGAAGGAGGGGAAGAATCGCCTGAAGGCTGGGCCATCGTGATATCGCTACCACCGGAGGCTGGACCGTCGTGAGAAATCATGCGATAACGTTGAGAATTTCGTTGGCATTTGTCCCTTATCGCCCGCAAGAAATGACCCGAAAAGCGACTGTAACTACGTCAGTCTACGCCCCGCCGTTACATATTAGGTTGATATAACAATTTTTTAAGAAATAATTTCAACAAAAAGCTCTTTATGCTCTTCGATCTCTAAATCAGTTGCTTGAATATTGATACAATCGCGACACACAAGAATCACCCAGTCACTGTAGGAAAACACGAACGTTCGCGGTGACACACGGGAAATCCCACGAATTTATTCAGACTCGTGTGTCGTACGTATGCATATCACGTCTACTCGCTTGCAGTCCGGCGAATTCATGAACACCATCTCTTTCTTGAAGTAACGGTCACCGCCGCCTCCGGTGCACGAGGGGCGAGAGAGGTTTCGGCGGAAATGCGGGAGAAAGAGTACGTCGTCAGCGAGGCGAGCTCACACACCGCTGGAGTTGGGAGATCCAGCAGAGATCACGCTTCGAAAAGTGGCGCGACGTGGGGCGGACGGCTCAACGAGGTGGTGGGAGCGCTCGAACGTAACCCGCGCGCTTCGCTCAGCCGCGAGGGACGTCAGTTGGGGGCAAAAGAGGAGGCGGGGGTCCAGAACCCGCGGGCTTAGGCCGTCCCGGGCCGCTTACGCGCGGAACACGCGGTCCGCCGAGCCGCTGCGCGCGGCATTACGTCGCGCACCGTCGACCGCGACTGACGTTCGCGTGAGAGAACCGACCGATCGCCCCACCGACCTCGCGATTATAACGCAATTCGCTAGGAGGAAATGTCAAGAGTCGTTATGTAGGAAAAGTGCGCTGTTCGATCGAGTGTAACGCCGTGACGTTCTAGCGGTTTCGAGGAATCGGTGTCATCCGACAGCGACAACCTGTAGGAGTAGACAGATGATTAGGTGTCATCGACGATAGTGATAGTCGAAGAAGATACTCGAATAGTGATGGGTACGTTGGTGTCAGTTTGGGACGATGTTGTCGGATGTTAAGTGAACTGCAAGTCCCGACGGTGACGCTTTAAATCGCTGGACCTGTCGCGCACAAAGTGCAACGGTACATCTAGAGGATCCGTAGGCAACAATCACCGCCAATCATGGGACTAAATCGATACGTGGCTCCGCGATATTGAGATTTCCACCTGTGACTATGACAGTCCCGCGTTCGATCATGAGAAGCGGTGTGATCAAGGAAGAGGAACGACTAATCGATCACGAACAACGAAGGATCTGTTGGGGTAGCTGGTAGCAAGGTACGAAGACGGAACCGACTTTGGAGTCGCCTCCGTCCGTGAAGCAAGTGAAATCACGACGTCCCGGCCGGGAGGTGCGTGCTTAGGCGACGAGGGGCGGCTACTGGCCGATGGGATGCATCTACCGGTGGGTTCCGTGGCCTGCGGGGAGAATTACGGCACCGTTGGATCTCACGAAGGCGCTGGCCCGTGCGGTCCCTCCCTGGCGCCGCTGCAGGGTGTAAACAGCAGGTACCACCAGGTAGACGACGCCGACGCCGGGGGTGGAGGTGGCGAGATGAGCGAGAGTGCCGCCGTCGGCGAACTATGGTGGACCGAAAGGCTCGTCGGCGAGGCGCAAGCCGAGCATCCTGGAGAACTTGTCAGGACGGGTTAGTATTAAATGCGATGTAAACATAACGTAATAAACACAACAATAAGATTTGTAACACTTGAGCGAACAAACACAAAAAAGTTATAGAAAAAAGAAAGCGAGAGAGAATACATACAGAGAAACAGGTTGTATACAACAGGCGGAGTGTTGTGCACACGTTGTGTACTCGTCGCTTTATTAAAACAAGATTTTATTTTCCTATGAAACGATTCTTTATAATAACATTATGCGTGACTCTTTACAGGTTCACCGTACTTTCTGTGCAGTCAATTACCGACTCACTGGCGGTCCAACAAAACCTTGCCAGTGGCGTTCAAAGTGGTTGCTCTTGGCGAGGTTGGCGACGGGACTTTGGTGACGGTCCGAGCTGGCAACGACGAGAACTGTTGCGCGGAGCTACGAAACTCGACCGCGCTGATGAAGAATCAAGTCGCCAAGTTTAACGACCTTAGGTTCGTCGGCAGAAGCGGCAGAGGTGAGTTTTAGTCTCATCATAAAAAGAAAGTCTCTAATTTTTCTGCGAACACAAGAGGAAAGTATCATTCCACGTTTAAGGAAGGGCGTATGTGCGCAAAGGAGAAAAAGAGAAAAGAGAAATGAAAGTTTAAATTGTTTCGAGTTTGTGAAAGAAGCGTATTAAACTTCCAATTATTCGCTCGGGAACAATTTGCCGTACCTTTGATCATATCGGGATTCATACGAGAAATCCCTCGCGCTGTATATCAGGACGAGCAAAAGCGCGTGCCGCGATTTCCAGCCCTCTAAAATCACGGTTATTGTAATCATCATCATCGGGCCACCCTCGTTCACCCCCGTGCATCCCCCATCCCGCGAGTTCCCGCTCCTGCCACCCCCAGAGTCATTACTCGATGTCTGCCACAAGCCCCAACCGAGCATTCGAAACAACTGGCCGTTAATCAGAAATCATCCGACGGATATGGACGGATATGGACGGAGAGGATGACTTGCCAAAATCAACCAACGTCGATCGATGCTCTTGACTTGTTTAATTTTCGACCCTAATTTCCCGACAACCCTTTGCGGCTCTTTCATGCGCACATCGATTGGTAAAAATATCAAAGCAACGTTGATTGCGCGCACACGATGAAAAGAAAAACAGAAGGCACACTTTAACGCGAAATTTTATGATCCTATGTGGCGAGAAAGAAAGAAAAAATGAAAAGCAAGATGGGAAAGTAAGATCTTGAGAGGTTTCTCTTACAAAATGTTTACAACCAAACATTTGACTTGTTTGCGCTGTCGAAATATCGATTTTCCGGCCGGCAATAATTATTCACGGATCAGCAGGCGGCTTTGTCAAAGCCTACAAATGCATTTTGCACCCTATGATCCGGAGGGTGCGTTTATGAATTAACGGGCCGTACTGCTCGTATACGGGATGCTCGTCCTGTATCGCGTCATCTATGTTTCATTTGATTTGATCATGAAGTGCATGAAGTGGGTTCACGATTTTCATGCGCCTAACACAGGTGCATCGGCCCTCGGAGTCAATTAGCGAAAGAGACACTTCCCTCGCCAAAATCCTTCAATCCCTTTGTCCATTTTTCGGCTCGTTGTTATATGTGTGTTTTTTTTTCGTCGTTTCAATCTCTCCCCCAATAATCCATAATACTCAATTTCGGCGATTGACCAAACCGCCCTCGGTGTGTTGATATCGGCCACCACCGGGCGAACCGGGCCTCTCCTATCATCGAGGTTTTGTTTCCGCGACTTATTAATTTGATTGAATTGCATCGCATCGCATCGGCCGGCAAACTGATTCAAGAAATTGCAGCGAGGATTTTAAAACAGCGAAGCCACGAAAAATCGCGGCCGCTGCCTCCTCGATTAAAAAGGGGATCGGCGACGCGACGACCAACACGATGAGATTATTTTTCGGCGAGCGACTTCGGCAGCCGCCGGGGGCTGCTGCCGCCGCCGCCGCCGCCGCCGCCACTCCCGATTTTTCTCACCGCACAATTTTCTCGGAGCCGTGTGTGTATCCGATTGAAATTACTTTTACACGTGTCTTCCGTTATCGCGCAAGGATCACGAGGCGCCGATCACGCTTTATTATCTCTAATCAGCCGGCTATTAAAGCTAGTTTGCGCTAAAAAGGAAACAACACGAGATGACCGCAAGTCGATGATGACGGCCGGGCGTTTTTCTCTTCATTAAAGCGCATTACAGCTAAATCTATCGGACATCCATCGCCCTTTCGAAATAGCGCGAGCTCCCCGCGGTCTCTCCCCCGCGCGCCCGGAAGGTCCAGCGCGGTCCCCACCGGCAATTATCGCCTCCAGTAAACGCCGGAACGGCTCGTCCCAAAAGCTCCCACTGTGGGCGGAAAGAAACGAGACCTGGTAGCGCCGAATCAAAGAGGGCTGCTGGAGGCCGGAACGACGACGGCCGTTCGTTCCATCATCGTCGGGCCGAGAGAACGGCCCGTGCCTATAATTAGTAATATACCGCAGTCTATATCGACACGGCTGAAATTACCACCGATAGTAATTATTTGACAATTGCAGAGACATCCTGTTGGGAGACTCGGGGACCTCCGCTCCGTCCCTACCGCCGACGCGTCCGTTCCCTCGCCCACTCACCCCCTTATCCTTTCTACCCCGGTGTGCTCTCTGCTCGCCTAGCCCTACGCGACCTCGTCCCCTCCGCTCGTCGCCATGAGTATTAACGGACGGTTTTGAGTGGTTTCGGGCGGTTGTGTGTGGGCGGTTTGGGCTGGCGCGCTCATCTCATCCTCGGTGTGTGCCAACGCACCGACACACACGTACACACACGCATGCACGCGGGGAGAAACACACGGAGGACCGTGAGCAGTCGAGCCGTGATGCTGCACGTTATATAGGTGCCACATACGCGTGGCCCGGTTTTGTCTGTCCGTCTGTCTGCCCGTTCGTTCGTTCGTCTGTCCGTCCATCCGTTCGTCCGTCCGTTCGTCCGTCCGTCCATCCATCTGTACGTCCGTCCGTCCGTCCGTCCGTCCGTCCGACCGACCGTCCGTCGTTCGCGAATGCACAGGCCGGGTCCTGTCTCTGCAGATGACCGTTCCCATCATCGAGTATTAACCGCAGGTCCGGGTGCCGGGGAGGGGAGTCGGCTGTGCGGCATTATTAGCCCCAAATGCGATGGACTCGGCCAGGGGGGAAGGGGTCCAGCGCAGCGCGCGACCCTTCCTCCGATTCGGTCACCACCAACCCCCCGACTTTGGTGTCCCTCCGAATTTTCCGCGATTTTTCGACCGAATGTCGGTCTCACGCTCGTTAGACGCCGATTTGACCCCTTAGATGGCTTGTAGACACTGGTGTACCCCGCCGTCGGTCTTGGATAACTCAGGCCTGATTTCGTTGACCCGTTTCTTCCGGCTCGTTCGGCGAAATTCGTGAAAAAAAAATAAAAAAAAAAAGAAATCGATTGTCACCCTTGTCATTCAAGCGGCCCTACAATTGCATCCGAAAGAACCGTCTTCTGATGCAAAAACGCGGTTTTGCATTCCGGCGCGCTGCACTTTGCGCGCGACAGATGAACGATGACGATGACAATGACGGCCGCGAGAGGTAGGTATCCTGGGATCGGGCGGAGGGTGCAAAACGGGGGTGGGCACTATCGCGGAAGAGCGGAGAGGGTTACGATATAACTGGGATATAACGCCGTGTAGCTCGGCAGTCAGTTGCAGCTCCCGGGGGGTGGCGGGGTTGGCGGTGTTTGATGCCGGTTATCATGTTGACAGACACAGCGAGGTGGAACTGGGTGCACCAAGGGGAGACAATTACAAATCGTTGACATTTACGCCAACACAAACGATTGCATGTCCGCGGCGCGTTAGGTATCGTCTCTTTTGGCGTAAACAGCAGTCTTGGTCGTGTTTCGTTTCGTCATGTCGGACAGCTTGGCACCGGGTGTTTCGAGAACGATCCCGCGAAAACGGATGGCATTGTACGAATTGTCCTCGCCTACCTTGTCGCCTTCTCTGTCGCCCTTGCCCTTTTGATGGCCCTTTTGCCCGTCCGTGGCTTGCAGAGTATCGGAGGTCTCTCTCTCTCTCTACCGCCTCTAACGCCGGGGAGCGTAAATAACGCTCTCGGTTAAATCTTCCGCGCGACAGAACTCTCGCCTTTCGGGACAATCGAAAGAGACAAGCCCAACTGGCGTCTTCCACGAGCCGAACGGACGAGCTGCGAAAGAGCGGCGAATTACCGAATGCATATTAGCGCGCGATGGGTCGTTTAAGAGCGCGTAGTCAATCTCTCCGACGGACGTTTATGGAGAGAGAATTAATATACCGGACCTTCAACTTTCAGACCTTCGCCGATGATATATGTACACGACTGCTCCACCCCCGAGCGTCCACTCCTCTTCTATTATCCTTCAACGTGCTTGAGAATACCGAGGGTCCGTTAAGATCTAATAGACACGGACGTAATTGCGAAGTCGCAAATTATAAATCGGACTCCACCTTCGTCGTCCACCTAATGAAGCACGAAAACACGAATGTAGCGTAGCGCGTTCAGTCGCCAAGATACATATAAAACGGAAATCACTCGAATCCCTCTTTCTCTCTCGTTGCAACTCTCTTTAGTCGATAGATTAACAATAGATTAATGACGAAGTAAACTCAGCTACTGACTCGTGACATCGTTCTCTATTGCAGGAAAGAGCTTCAGCATCACCATTACCGTATCGACGACGCCGCCCCAAGTGGCGACCTACACGAGGGCGATTAAGGTGACCGTCGACGGACCGCGGGAGCCGCGATCGAAAACGAGTAAGTGGATCACTTTATGCGACACTTTATGCGACGCTTCGATCGCGAGATCTATTCGGCGCGGCGTTGACGCCGCCGCCGCCGCCGCCGCCGGTGCCGCGCCGCGTCGCCCGGGAATTCCCTGAAAATGTACCGATAATTCAACGAAAGTCCCTGTACGCGGTAATGGGGAGTCATTACCGAGCAGATGGTGCGCGATGATGCAGTGGTCGACGTGCGTATCGCGCTGGTGCGTGTTTCGGGTCGGGCTATTCGCGCGCCCACTCCCCCCCTACACACGCACACACACACACACACACACACACATGCGCGCACGCGGGAGACAATGCTTTTACAAGCGCGCGTTCGTGCGCAGCCGGATACGTTAACTCACTTACGCTAATTCGCCGCGAAAACCCCTGAAAAATTGCTAAAACATTCTGTTGGCGGGCTCATTATCGGTCGGCCGAAATTGATAGAATCACGCGAAACGCAGTAAAAGTCGATCGGCGGTGGCGGTTGCCGACCCTCCAGTTTTATAGCTTGACCTAGCCGAGCGTCGGAACGAAAGGAGACATCGCGCGCGCGGCCGTACGCTGCTCGTCGATTCGGCCAACACCTATTTTGGGATGCATCCGCGGCGAGCAAAAAAAATGGTCGTTATTTCGATATCAGATTAATAGCCGTTGCGGAGTTAACCGCGAAAACGGCAGTTTTTTGCGGGCGTTTCGCATTTGTTGTATAAAGTATTGATGGGCGCAGGGCGCCGCATACACCCGTTGGCCCTTGCTGTTTTTTTTTTTTCGAAATGGTCGAGCGTGATTGATTTTACTGATGTTTTCACTGCTTGACTCAGCCCGCATGTCGGGCGCGACCGGCACGCAAAAACGCGCGAACCTCGTCAATTTTCCAACTAGCATAAAGTGCACTTAACGACGGAGTTAAAGTTTCAAGTCGCGTCGCCGCCACTCGGCTTCCACCTCTGCGGTGATCGACATTTTTAACGGCCGCAACGAAGATGCTCGGCTCTGTCTCACGATCGTCTTTGCTCTCCATCACCCATCATAGAGGAGATCGGATCAAATCGGCCCAAGAGTCGTGTTGCGTCATGCGTTTCGTTTATGCATTTATTGTGAGAGCAACAATGGCAAGGGAATGTTCTTTTCCAAAATGTTCTTTTTAGAATATAGAAAAGGTACTTATTTAGGTATTATTATATAGCATATTTATTATATAGAAAAGGAACATTTTGCGATCCCTTTTTCAATTTTACTTTTACAATAAATACATGTATTAAACTTGTAGCCAACATAACCTTTAGATCGACTCAGTCTTCCCTGTATTCGTCAATGACAAGCCACTTTACGCGTATAAATCTGCACAGACCTTTCCTCTTCTTACGTTACTCGCTGCAGTCGAACGCCTCCTCCAAATTTAATATATCGAATACATTATCTTAGACTTCCAATCTAATATATTTATCGTTTAAAAAATGTAATTATCGGAATGTGTAATAAGTAATTTCAAAATTTTTAACATGTAAAATGGAACAATTATATTTTTATATCGTCACAATTTTATAAAACAATGGTTAAAATGTTGTTCCACAAAGTTACAACGACATAAAAACATAATCTCGTTTCATATAAAAATTCCATATTTCATCTCGTTTTATATAAAAATATAAAATATAGAAATTATTTATCACAAACAACCAAATATTTGGCGATTGGCCTGATGGAGTGAGCGGAGCTGAGAGACGTGGAGACATCCGCGAGATTCGCAAATTACTCGCAAAACTGGCGCGCAAAAGAGTGTCTTTCTCGCACGATCCTCCCGCTACTTTTACGATTATTGCTTCCATCGGTGGTATACGGCCGGTATGAGGAACCCTCTTCAAATCGGAGGCTCGTTTAAACCGTTTAAGTTGTCGACTCGGGCAGACGACCGGACGTCGCGTCGCCGACCTACTGGCCCTTTACGAACGACGAAAGACGACACGAACGAACGCGCGTGTGTCGCGTGGCGCAGCGGCCCGCGGAATAGACACGCATGACGACATATTGCATACACGGGTTTTGGCACCGTGGCGTGCCTTGGCCGGCACGCACCAATCTATGCAGCAACCGGCGTACGAGCGAGCGTCGTCGAACTAAACAACCGGCGCTTTCATTGTGCTGCCAACAATGCGACGCTCGGCGCCCCGCAGACACCTGCCGGCTCTCTCATTATTGCGTGCATAATCGCGAGCTTTTTGTTATCGGAAATTTACCCCAATCCCGGCGCACCCCGCGCGTCATAGACGTGTCTGGTAATCGGGCAATTTCCGTAATTCGCCGATTCACAACGCTCGACGTGAAAGAGTTCGGGGCGGAGCTTTCCTTCCTTCCTTCCTTCCTTCCTTCCTTTCTTCCTTCCTTTCTTTCCTCGGGCGATTAAGGAATAAATTCGGGACGGTAAATGCAATATCCGCAATTTGTGAAACAAATAACACAATACATGCGTCGAGTGTCGCGGGGTGCTGCAGGCAATGGCGGTAATGAGCCGCCTGCGAGCGATTAGAACCGCGGCATGACGAAGCTCGTGCTTTTCGCTCGGGCGCGTCAATGGCGATGGCGTAACGTCTGAGTAATTTGTCAGTTGCCAATAACCGAAACGGCGGGTGCACGCAGGGACGAATCGAGCGCGGACGGATAAATCGAGAAAGAGAGAGCCGCACGCGAAACAAAGTGGCCGCCGCCCGTTACCGTGGCCCAAAATCATCGAAACGCAGCGAGCGAAACGATATCGATGGATGGGTGCTGTCAGTCAAAGGTCGAAATTGAATTTGCTTCGCTTCGTAATTGCTCCGTATTTGGAATGTCATGTATTAGTAGTGCGTCACGGATTCTCGAAATGATTTTCCGTTTTAATAGAAACGAGGCGCGCCCTGGTACGTCGCCAGAGATATACTTCCTCTCTGCCCCTCCCGCCACGGCCACGTAATGATGAACGATGACAGGATGATCCTTTTCGAGAAATTCGCGCGAGAGAGATCTAAATTTTCTCCCTTTCTATCCCCTCGCCTCCCAGCTATCCCCTGTGTGTGTGTGTGTGTGTGTGTGTGTGTGTTTTCAAATATACCACGCGAGTCTCGAACGCGGAACCACGCCGATCCGTCGGCCTGGTCGACCGACCGACGGCGACTCGTCGTTGGTTCCTTGCCGCCGGATCGATCGACGTTTCCCCGTTGTCTCCGCAAAATCGCGCGTCCGCCAATCGACGTTCCCTTAAATGTAGTTTTCGAGAAAACCAATAGCAACAAAAGGAACCATATACGAAGCAATTTCGATGGTCGGTGGCCGTCAATCAAAATGTTAAAATTGGACTGGGCTGCTTCGCGATTGGATTCTCGCGAGACCAGCTCTCTTGATCCTACCGGTCAGAGGAAGGCTCTATCGGCGACCGAAAAGTCCGATTAAAGACCACCTCCTGATAAAGCGACGTCGAGAAGTGGCGGATCTCGCGGCGCTTCCGCTCGCGAATACGCGTGAAACAGCGCTCGCCGGAAAATTACGCGCGGTCATCGTGGAGCGACGCGTACATCTCGAAATCGAGAGCGGATGTGCGCGAATACTGCGAATGTCGGTTTAACGTTAAGAAACGGAGGAAATGAAGGAAACGAGGAAAAAAAATAAAAGAAATGAACGGACGTACGAATGGAATGTACGAAACTGGCCTAAGCGTCAAGGAGGACGTAAGACGGGCGGAGGGAGGGACTCGTTATTAGAGAGGAGGAAAAAGCCGCGCTATTTCCGTCCTCCCGGGACCGCCACACTGATTAGATAAGCCCACCACTCGTGCCATGGAGATTGGAGTTACTTCTCTCCTCGTCCCTCTTTTCTCTCTTTCGCGCGCACTCTCTCCGCTTATCCGTGCTCCGCGAACCAGTGGGGCGCTATTGATGAAGGTGTTATATCACCGTCGCACTTGTTTATTGCAATTAAATGTTTTTCGATCCGACGATCGCGTTCACGAGGACACCGTCCGTTCCGTGGTCTTGCGTCTTGACCGCGGCCTGACCGCATTCTCCACGAGAGTCGTGCGAATCGTAGGCGAAGGAGGACGCATTCAGTCGACTGTAGAAGGTGTCGAGAGGTCTCACGGCTGATTTCATCCGTCGTCGATCTGTCTTCCCCGAAATTCTTCCCCCGAGGGCCCGTCTCACAGCGGAGGCTACTGCAAAGAACCGAACCTCGCGTGTACCGTTTGACCTTTCACGAGAGCCCGAACCGAGCGAGGAGTACATCGGCGGGCCCATCGCTGCGTAACGCTCCGTACGTTTGGGGCATTATCGACGTCCGGTACGTGAGAAGTCGTGGGATCCGCGGGGCCCTATACATGGATACGGCTTGTACCTCCTGGCGCGGGCCGATCGTGGTAGTCGGTAGCAAGGAATAATCTTGTAGGCATCGGTCAGAGCACTGGAGCTGACCATCTGGGCTCGCCGACAATTTCGTGCAGTTTGCGGTCGAACTTTATTTGTCGTTCGCCCTCGTGGCCGGAGGTGTCTCCCTCTCGCTCTCTCCTTCTTTATCTCGCTCTACCTCACTGTCCTTCTCTCCCCGCCGTCTCTCCTTCCTTTACTCACTCTCTCTCTCTCTCTCTTTCTTTCTCTCTTCTCCTCCCTCTCCCCCTCCTACTGCCGAGAAATAACAATTTGCGCCTAGGCTCCCATTCTTGGTTTCTCTTCGATGCTGAAAGAGCCGTTGAAAGAGAGCAAGATGGAGAGGCGTGGAGAAGCGCGGAGAGTAACAGGGAGAGAGCAAACGTGCCACTTCTGTTTGTGCCAGTGATAGATAGATTCCGCAGTTCCGTTGTTGTCACCACGGAGTTGCCGATATGCAAATTATATGGAGTCTGGAGAATCGCGAGGATCAGCCGCCGACGCGTCGACGCGGATACATGTTTCACGTTGCACTCGATTCTTGCCTGTCATCTATCTCGCCCGGTGAAACATCCGCGATTTTTGTAACTCCACACTTGCTGCACTGCACTACTCTGGGCGTTGTCGTTGCCCACGCCAAGTGCATTTCGCATCTTGCGACCGTACGCATCTACGATGATTATGCAAGCGCTCGGGCTCGCGCACGTGCCGAGTCATGTGCATCGCCGTGTAACAATATGTATCAAGCGTGTATCGGGACCCGGCATAATAGGGAATCGGAGTATCCCCGTTATATATACGCCGTGATACTTGGCTGGAGATTCTGTCTATCTACAAGGCCCCGGATATGCGAGGAATGCTATTGAAGTCTACTGAGGGAAGAGAGATCGAGTTTCTTCATTATCCCGCTTATTGGCCTAATAACGTAGACGCAGGCCGGTCAATCTCATCAATTTAGGGATGCCACGTGTCCGTGTCGCATCCAAAGCGCAAATGACAGAAAAATAACTTAAAAAGAACGGACGCCCAACGTGTTTCGTTTGGTATTTTTCGCCACTTCTCCGTATCTGATTTCTACTAAAAGAAGACAGATTTAAAATCCTTTGGTCAAATTAAACTTTTCGAGTTAAACCCTTAGACGTTTAATAATAAAAGTACTGATCGCGCTTGTGAGTAAAAGGAACCACGGATATTTGATTTCTTTCGTTCACAACTAATGTTATGACTTGATTAGCAGCAATTTATATATATCGTGTTGTGAATAACTTGTCTTCAGGACAACAACATCAGCAATTCCGCGCGCTCGGCCTAGGACAAAGACCCTTCCTTGACGCGCCGACCTCGTTCAGGTCCCACCTGCGGGAACTTGAGTCCTTCGGGAGGAATAAGCATCACCATCATCACAGTAGTCACTTACACGACCAGCAGACCGGCAACAACGTCACCACGAATTCGGTTAGCGGTGCCTGCACCAACCCCAACAACACCGACCCGACCGCATCGCCGGCTTCCAGTACACACCTCGGGGCTACCGGCGGCTCCTCGGCTCATCAGGATTGCTACAAGCGCAGTCCTCAACACGGCGGTGAGTTCTGATCTTCTCGCTTATTCTTTATTACCCGCGTGCGTCTCACCGCGTAAATTAATCCGATGCGTCTCATACTATCCCGAGAAATCATATTTTCGTTCGCGTTCATGTGCGCGAATTCTCTCGAGACTACGAAACTCTCGAGACTATTTAAAGCAAAATTTCGAGACTATTTAAGTTCGAGACTAATACTTAAATAAAAATCTTTTTGGAAAGTTGGATAGGAGTATAAATGAACTTTGAGATACAAAAACAGTAATTCGTTGTTGCGCTTAATAATTGGAGAGGATACGTTTCACATTGCACATAAAATGTGCAACGATATCGCTTAACTTGCATACGCGCGCGCGTTCTTCTAATGAAGAAGAGGTAACTCCAAATTGATTAACGGCAATGAACGTTTCAAAGGCGTTCCAATATACTCATCATAAACTAATTTTCCAAGGGATAGCACCTACATTATCGTCGCGGAGTTTTCGCGGAGATTCGCGCTCGTTTGTATGATAATAGAGATAACAGAGAGGCGACGCTGGCATAAGCGCTAAGTAGAAACATCTTCCGGTATGTTTGCTCCTTTGGTTCGTGATGGATATTCGCGCGGCTATCATCATCTCACACTCTCTCGTGCAGCATCCTCGTGCCTCGCGCGGAGCGGGCTCGAAACTACGCACTAACCCCACCTAACCCCTCGTCGCGAGAGGGTGAAGAGGGAGAGATCGTGGAAGGGGGATCCCTAGGGAAGGAAAGAGGACGAGAGGGAAGGTGGGGGACCTCTGCCGTTTCGCGAGGTAATAGTTTCATACCTCGTTCCGGCTCTGCACCCTCTAATTCAACGTAATAACGACATTCAACCTGCCGTTTCCATCTCCCCCTTCGCCGATCTCTGCCGATGCACCGTTGCGTCGCAGGAGGAAAAAGTGTCCTCCTCGTGGAAGGACGTCGTCATCGGTCGCGAACAAGCGAAACGGGCCAGGTCCCGCCTCGGAAGAAAGAGCCTCCTCCTGCGGAAAAATCTCTTGCACTGCGCGCGTGTGAAATTTTCTCCCAGTGGATGAGACAGGACGAGTCATTTCGCGAGAGTACCGCGGCCGGTCTCCCTCGCCTCGCGGCTACGCTAAAAATTCGAGCAGCCCCGGCAAAAACACGGCCATTTTCCTCGCGCAGCGGCGATACGCGCGAACCGCCCCGTCGTCGCGCTGGATAGCTTCGGATATTTCGAACTATCGAGATAATATAGGATGCAAAAAGGCGGGAAGGTCGAGAGGCACTTTATTTCTGCGCGGCTCGTCTCGCATCAGCGGTCTCGACCTGATCAAAGTTAAGTAGACGCGCCCCTGCTGGCGAGACCTCTTTGAAGCTACGTTGCGGTTTCTCTTTGCCCTAATCTCCTCCTCCGCCTCCGCTCTGCCTCCGTCGCTCCTCGCCTCCGCGGTGCGATCGGGTCCTCCGTCACCTTCCGGACCGACTTCTCGTCACCCGAGACACCTCCGTAGATCGACCGTAGTGTAATTAGCTCGTTTATCAGCGCAACGTTCACTATTGCGCGCGCTCGCGTGGCTGAAAGAACGCGAGGAGCTCGTTAGCCGCCGTCGTAGTGTGCAAAAGCTGCCTCCGCGTTTCTTGGACGTTGAACTCAAGCTGGACCAACGTCGCCGGAGTCTTCAGCCCCGAAAGGGACCGCGCTTCCACCATTCTATATGAATGAATGCAATCTCCCGACGAATATTCCATTTACCGCTCATTCATTCGACACTTCTCTCCTCCTCGGCGCGTCTCTAATGAGCAGTTTCGAGCTTCGATGCGCCTCGGACTCGACCAACAGTGCGTGGTGCAAAATGACCGAGCGCGTCGGTGGATGCAATTTTCATCCTCCCGCCTGCAGGGGGAAGGAGCTATCCATCTCGTCCTTAGCAGCTTCTCCACCTTGGAGATGTAGCCCCCTCTTCAGCCGATTCGGATCTCCGCTCGGGCGTGCCGTCGGTGCGGAGGATCCGACGTGCTCGTGCACTCACGTACTACTCACGTGCACGTCTGCGTAATACCAGGGATCGATCGGTCGCTTCTCGATCGATCCGGAGCTGGATCCATGTTGTTTTTGCCCTTCGCTCGCGACTCCTCCTTTTATCTTCTGCTCGCTTCGCTTGCGACGTTACTGAATCGAAGTTATCCTCCTCCTCCGCCGCCGCCTCCTCCCCTCTGCTCACCTTCTTCTCCCCATGATTGCTTTCTAAATCTCACGTACGTGCCAGAAAGTTATACGAGAAGAAATAAAATTATTAAGAATCGGCCTGATAAATGTGAGAGCAAAAATGTAAGAGTGCCTAACTACGTGAGATTGGTTGGATTTATGCTTTGCTTTGAACGGAAAGTAGAAATCTGAAATGGGATAGCGAAATTGTGACAGTTTACGAAGCGAAATTCGCGCGAGTGTCTCGCACTATTGCGTGCTCGACCATCGCGCGAGCAAGATTACTTTCCTGGTGCTTCCTGATGCAGTTTCGCGTATTCACTTGGAGTCACAAATTCTGCGTTCTGCTCAGCGAAAGGGTAAACGTCTCGCCGGTCTCTCGGTCGGTTGATGGGTCGGTCCCGGTCGGTCCCCGGATGAAGAAAAAAGGGAAGTGAGCATTATTTCTGTCTCTTATAATATAACTGTATCCGTTTCTCGGTCTCCCTTGTCCCGCCGAGTCTCATTTCGAGTCGTGATCGGGGTAATGAGGCCCCGCGCGCAGTGGCAGCGGACCGAGTACCCGAAGAGAGGTGAGATGCGAGAGGTACGAGGCGGGAGAGGAGAGAATCGGATCTCAGGTGGTATCAACGTGAAAGGAACGGAGAAGAGTGGTGCTCGACACCAGGAAGAGGAGAAACGCGCGGGCGAAGGCGAAGCAAAACGGACAGAGAAGCCACGATGTTGCCAACATGGTAGGGGTAAGGACGCTGATTATGGGGTGTCAAACAATCACGCTGATTGTATATTCTGTGCTGACTCCTTCTGTCTGCCTCCACGTCTACTCGTGTAGGCTGCAACCAGCAGATTCTCGTTTCCCGTCTCCGCGTCCTCCTTCCTTGTCGTCCTCGTCGTCGCAGTTGTGCTCACTGTCGTCCTCTCCTCCCCTCAGCGAGAGAGGTTACTCACAGATACGAACGTCCTGCGCCTTCTACAGGTTCACCGTTGCAATCGGAGAAAGGGAAAGAGAGAGAGAGAGAGAGAAAGAGAGAGGGGAGGGAGATGGAGAGAGACAAGTGCGTTTCTTAAGGCGGTTTACGAGGAGGAAGTTATTTATCCGGCTAGAGATAAACAAATGATTGCGCAAAATTAGAAAGATCCGTCTGCTGGATAAGATCGTACAAGAAACTTCTCGACGTTCGTTCGCTCGTTCATTCGTTTTGTTGTGGAATTCGAAGAATCCAGAAATCTCGGATAACGACAAGAAGAAAACGGTGACAGGGGAACGGGAGAAAAACGTCGATGACTCTCAATGAGAGAGACAATCTCGTCGCGATCGCGACTCCACCGCGGCGTATTTTTACCCGCGCCAACGGCTGGCGATTTTTACGTGCGGCCAGTTACCGGGTGGTTAAGGTTAAGAAGCGTGTAATTCGTTGCGAGCTTCGTCCCCGGAGGTGCGCGCGAAGAATCCAGGAGCAGCTTGTCGCGAGTTAGCAAGAAGGGGAGTCATCTCTCGCTCCCGTATATATCCCCCTCGCGTATTACCCCGGCGAGAAAGAGACAAAGAGCCCGCGGCTCCCAAGTGCGATCCCGGAGGCTCTTTTACCTATTTACCGGGATGCTCGTACTTTACGCAGAGGAGATACCCCAAAAAGACGACGAGCCGGACGAGCAGCGGCAAAAGGGAGCCTTGAGAAAGGGGGGCACCGAGAGAGGAGGGCCCGATCTCGCGATTCCCACGTGCCTCCGCAGCTACCAGGAATGCGGCTACCTTTCTGGCTGTTCCATAGATTTTTTCCACCTACTGATTGTCCTACCGTGGATCTCGGTACCTACCCAGCCCCGGCCGCGCGCACTTTACCCGTCGGTACTTAGAATGCTGCCGACGCGGCTTAATGGAAGCCTAGTGCGTGCTTGTACGAGATTATTACGCCTCCTTGCTACTCGCTCTCTCGCAGCTGGCACTCTTACTTAAACGTTATCCCCGACGAGTTGCTTCTTGAGAACGACGCGATCTTAACCGCGTACGCGTCACGTAGCGAATCCGTTTCCAATATCTCATTTTAACCGACTACCGTGAATGAATCCGCCGGACACCCATCGCGATTCTACCTTCCCGCCGACGCTGTTGAGAGTACTCGTTGAGGCACGGGAAAAATAATTCAGCTCTCTTCTCTCGTTTCGTTCGATTGCGCTTCTGTGGATATATGAAGAGTCATGCGGCTTCATCGCGTTCGTAAAGCCGCGTTCTTTGGAGGCAAAGGAAGATGTCATCGTGTACGTTTGTGCGCAAAATGATTCTTCCCACGCAATATGAAGTGGAAGTTTGTGTCCAGTTGTCGCTGGAAAGTTCCCAGATCCAAAGTCTACTAACCCCGCGAGAAACAGGCGGATAAGGGTTGCTTTTCTTAAAGAGGGGAAGGGGTAGGAAGTTACGAGGCAATTAGGAAAGTGTCACACACACTCCTATCGCGACTCACCCTCGCAACATGGCGACCCCTATCATGCTCTATCACGAGGTTATTAACGCGTGCGCTAAATCCGTAGGATGTGAAAGGATCTATGACAGATTGAAGAGAAACGTGCCTAGAACGTCAACCGTTTACGCACGTTTTTCGAGATGTCTTGGAGATCATTTCTGCGTGCTACATCGCATTGAATGTTGATTCATCAGATATTTGCGTGAAAAAGAGTCGTGTAAAGAAAAAAAATAGATCATTGTCGCGACACAGCTTGAGAAACGACGACGTAAACTTTTCTTCTGCTTCTCTTTCTTCTTCTTCGCAATTTGTACTTCCCACAGAAAAGCAAAGTTCGGCGTGGCTCG